GTGTGTCTCATAATATGTTTTTAGTTTCTTTAATGTTATATTTTTTATGTAATTCTTTATGATATTTTTATATTATATTTTTTTAAAAAGTTTATATTTTTTAATAATGAAAAAAATAATGATAGATTAAAATAAAAAGATTTTTTTATATCAATAATTAAAAGTGTGATATTAGTATTTTACATATACATTTATGTGTGTGTCTCATAATATGTTTTTAGTTTCTTTAATATATATTTTTAGTTAGCATGTAAAAATATATTTATTGTATTTTTTATATATAAAAAATAAAAATTGATATTAATTTTATTGATTGTATAATTAAAGACACTCACCTAACATAAATATTAAAATTAATGTCAATTTTTTTATTTTTTTATGTAAATTACTCCATCCAATTTGATTTATGTATTTAGTTCTCCTAATTTAACTTTTACATATAGAATTTAACCTGATAATTTTGTATAATAAATTAATGATATTAAAAAAAATTTCATCTAAATATTATGCATGGAAAGAAAAATTCTTTAATTATCACCTACTTACTATATAAAATATCTAATCAAACTTTATATAAAAGTCAAATTAACATAACTAAATCCGATTGGAGAGAATAATATTTGAAAAGTATAATAAATATATTATTAACCTATGTACTTAAGGTATAAATTAAATAAACTCATATATTATATATGCACCTTCCCTTGATTAATCCTTTGCAAGTCATTGTTTCGGAGGTTGGATGGCATACAATTTAGGCTTGTCTTTTGAGAAGTTATTTTTGTAGCGGATGCAGTAGCAAAATTGAATTTGACTTTGAGGGATAATGTTGTTGGGTACCATGAAATTCCTGCCTTTTATGTTCCCTCGTTGCCAATGATAGGGCTAATTTCTATTTGCACCATACTTGCACCATCTGCATTTTATTTTTTATGCAAATTGAAAACTTCATCCATAGATGAATAATGTTTTGGAAAATAATTTATATGCAATCGGTTTAATATATTTTTTGATATATTTTTAATTTAATTATTAAGAATATAATATAAATATAAGTGATTCAGTTGATTTCTATATCTTTTGTGCATAATTATATTTCTTATTTTTAATTTCAGACTAAAAATTAATGATTTTTTAATAAATATATTATATAATATATTAAATTAAAGTGTTGTTTGGGCAGTTTCACAAACCTATACTGTAGAAATCTTCAACTACTTCAATACTTGAAAATCCCAAGGATGTTTTCTCAAGGAAAACACTCCGATTTTCAAGTCAGCAATACTCAATATTTTAAAAAGAGAAGCTCTCAAGAGTAATTGCAGAGAAAGAAGCACAGTGGAATTAATACCTTGAATAAAGGTAAGTGAGAGTATTTATAGCCCTCCAGTGTTAACATGGGTTTATATATATAAGCATCTGATTAGTCCACATATGAGCACCCACGTGGGTGTGTTTGAATTGTGTTTGGTGTTAACATGGGTTTATATATATAAGCATCTGATTAGTCCACATATGAGCACCCACGTGGGTGTGTTTGAATTGTGTTTGGACTATTGTATGGATGCATTTTCATTTTGGGGTCTAGATATGAATGATTAGACCTATCATACATGGCCCAAACTAAATGTTGGGCTATTCCCAACAAATGTACATCAATTATTATCTGTATATTTTATAAAAGTTGATGTGGTATACTAATTAACCATCCCGATGGTGGGGATAAAATAACTATCCCAATTGCGGGAGAAATAAGAGGCACAAAAGAACAAAATCAAAATAATGTTGTTGGGTACGATAAAATTCCTGCCTTTTATGTTCCCTTGTTGCCAATGATAGGGCTAATATCTATTCGTACCAAACTTGCACTATGTGCATTTCTCACTACAAAAAAAATGATTTTTGGTGATAGAAATTTGTGATGAATTTTGAAATCATCACTATAACTTATCACAATTGTGATAGATTTAAAAAAATAGTCACAAATACATACATATTTAATGATAAACAAAAAAATTCATCATAGAAAATATATTTCATAAAAAAAAATATTCATACAGATAAAATAAGTTTTTGTCGATAAAAATCATCACTATAATGCATTACAATTATGACAAAATTTTAATATTGGTCACATATACCTCACACATTCAAT